AATGTGAAAACATCAATAATGGAAAAACAAAGTCAAGAACGAAGGGAGTCGGCCAAATTGCCTGACTCTACACAAGGGAACAACACAAGTACGATAACAATGCCACTCAGGGCAAGATTAATCTTGGGGAAGCGGCGACTGTTACTTTTATATGATTTCTAGAGGTAGTTCTTATGGCCTCCCATTGGTCTGAAACACAAGCGGAAAGAGGGGTGGGCGTGTACAGAGGCAATACTGCGCCGGCAAGGGGGGGAATTGGCAGCCGCTGATTGCAAGCGTTTGAGGTCAGCGGTGGTGAGAGCTGTAATCGAACCAGAAGGGGAGGGGTAGGCAATAGCAAGTAGCTTCTGAGACAGTTGTCTCTTGATGCAGTGGGGGGGGGAGAGACGGATGCATTGTGGGAAAAGCTGATTAAAAGGCAAGGGAGCCGAACGGGGGATAGGGACAGTAGTCAAGTACCACTTGGCCGGGGGAATAGTTTTAACACCAGTGTGCATTCGACTGGAAACAAAACGGTCAACAGGAGCAGAATTATTGGAGGAAGGGGACTCGGGCACGCAGTTCAGAGGAGGGGGGGAACAGCCTTTCATAAGAGGGAAATAATTTGAGTCGGTCTAGTAGGAAGTCACTGGAAAAGGACGTGGAGAATTTCTAACTTGTTCAACTGGAAACAACATAGTCAATAACATAGGAGTTGGCCGAAGATCATCTGATTCTAGATAAAGGAACAACGTATGTTCAATAATGCCACACGTGTGCAGGGGGAAGCCAGGCCTCAGAGAGCACGTGCGGATGGGAGATGGGGTGGCCACTGTTCTTATGTGAATTGGAGTCAGTTCATGTCGTGTCCAGTTGGTTTGAAACATTGCCCGAAAGGAGTGTAATGTACAGGGGCCCATAATGCTGAAGAATACGAAAAAGTCAATCTAGGAACCTGAGATAGAAGTGTTACGACTGTTACGAACCAGCTATGTAAGAACAGAGTCGTTTGCAGATAAAAGCACCTGCTTATTCAGCGTCTTATTTAAAAGTTGTTTAAAGTTAATTCAAAGCGTATGTACCCGAGTAAAACAAAGAGGCTGTTCAATGTCGATACACTGTTTTAGCGGTGGGTGGCATGTTCAAGTGGCATTTGGCAGCTGCAACTGTTTTTG